ATTACATCACGTGACGAGCTCTAGACAGGAAGAAAAGACTGATTAAAAATCAAATTCAACATGTTTGACATTATGAAAGATATTCTGTGCCCTCCTGTAACTGTTTTTCAAATGTGCCTGTCCTGTACACCTAGTGCTGAATAGCAGTTGAGGCAGAAATTAATCACTTTGTAGTTATTTGTTGCAGTTTGTTGGTTAAGCGATGAAAAGGGAGGGCTTGGTTTGATGCAAGGGATCTCAATTGCTAATGCAAACAGGGCAGAATCATTGTCACATAAGATTGAGATTGCACAGGGATCTAAATCATGCTCACAAAACGATTTATCGTGGAGCCTTACTAACCAATTTGAAACAAATGGTTATTCACACATTTTCTTTGGAGCTGTGTGCTTGTAAACCTAAAGAACTAAGTGTGAGGTTTCACTAACATACCGGTAGTCATATAAAAGTTATCTCCATCCTAATAGCATTTTAATCAGTTGACAGTTTTGCTAATTAATTATTAGTTCTGGTGTAATTCATAGAAAGATCATTTTTGTTTTAAGAATCATAAAGTCACATTGATTGTTTTGGAGATTTGGTTTGATTTGGTGATTAGCAATTTCAGGTTGCAAAGTAGAAGGTCTTCCCATTGACATGCAGCAGTGGGAGTGTTTTTCAGTGGCTATGGTAGTGGTTAGCGTGCCTGGCTCTCCTTTCCCCCAACACACACAGGTGCTTATCTGACAGTCTGTTGCTGCAGCACTCCAGCTTCCTGCTGTCTCCGAACACCCCATACTCCACCCCCTACAAACATACTATTAGCAACTTTGAACTTTAGGGCCCTAAGTGCCTCATCCCCTCCATACACATCCTAACCCCAAATCCCCCTCTCGGCAATGTTCACCACAGAGCCAAGAACAGTGTTAAATCACTGACTCAATAAACCTCTTAGGTTTTTATGGGAGGACAAAACAGTGTCAGTTTTCATGGACTGATATGGGGGCAAGTATATTGTAGAACAGAGGACATATGGATGTCTTGAAGTTGGAGAGACACTGAAGCACAGGCTGAGAAGAAGAGACATGAGGCCCCTCTGTTCTGTGCTTGAAGGACCATGAGGAGTCCGCTCTACCTCTGGAGGACAGTCCGGAAAGGAGACATGGGGAGAGAGTGGAGGAGAGAGATGCCTATCTTAGCCTTAACCTATAGTGTGGAAGACCATTAATGCTGTTTATTAGGGTTGTTAATAAAATCTAGTGGAAGAGGAAAGCCCCTTGGGAGTGTCGGTGGAATGAAAGCGGTGATTGTTGGGGAGACAGAGTGGGACAGAGAAGAAGGGGTCACTCGGGGGCCCCAGTGATCCTGAGGCACATCAGAGAAGATATCCCTGTTTGCGTCAGGAGTTCCACTACACTGGCAGCGTAAAGATAGGAACAGGCAGAGGGGAACGAGGGGCGCAATGACCCTTTCTTCCCTCAATGGGTGGTGGGGGTATTTTGGAAGGAGTTGCCATGGTTACCCCTCTGGCCTGGGATTTGTAATGTGATAGCTGGTTGCCAAACCACAATCTGAAAGTGGGAGAATTTGTGCTTGCCTTTGCAAGTGTTGTATGAAAGGTCTGTGTGTATTAGAAAGGACCACATGAAGTTCTGTAAGAGGAACGCATGCTGTACTTTGTCAAGGTGTGCAAGTGTTTGTGTGTGACTTAAGTTTTTTTTTTTGGGGGGGGGGGGGGTTTAGTATCTTACCTTACTCTTTCAAATGTTGTGGATTTATTTAGCCTAATCACGGGCACACCACTTCATTACCTCTGTCTCCCACCCACCAGGGGCCTCCAGTTTGCCAGGGGGGGTGTGCAGGGGGGCGTTTTACAACCCTGTTCAGGGCTTTCCCTGAGCAGTGGGCTGTGTGGCTAGTGGTTACTAGCTACATGAATCACATGCACATAGACACACACATACACACTAATGACTCATTACAGTGGAATGTTTCTCTTGTTTTTCACGTTATAACCCGTTTCCATGGCAGTGGCAGATCCTCAGAGGGTCCATAGACTCGACCGCCGCAGTCTTATTGAGATTAGAGTTCTAAAGCAGAGATGAATGGTTTGATGCTCTGGTCATTATCCATCAGTGATACTCAAGTTTTTGTCATAGTCTAATGTGAAGTTCTTACCTACCTAATTGACCTTTTTTTACATACAAATGTGCGCACATACACAACCAATCAGCAGTTCTACAATTTATTTGATTTATTTTATTTAATCTTATCTAGGAAAAAATCTCTTGAGGTCAGGAACCTCTTTTACAGGACCAAAAGTTACAAGGATAGTATGCAAACATCATTTACAAGACATTTACATAAAACAAAATAAAATCCTTGACATAAAAATAGGACAGTTATTTGCTGACTAAAACGGTGATTACATATTTGCTACAAACTATAATGAGAGGAAAAAGAATGGAAGAACACTGATATAAGGCTAAAATAATTAAAAATATTCACGGCAAAAACAACTACAAGAAAAAGTGGAAACATTTGACAATATACCAATGAGTCAGACAATGCATTGCAAGTGATGGCCATCCCACTCTGGAGTACAAATTGCAGCGATGAGTCATTTTGCGTGCACAACTTTATAGTACTGTGTCATCTACATAATAGTGGGTATGGGTTTCATTAGTGTTTACTTCTACAGTATATTGTTTATATAAATGGAGAATAAAGGTGCACCAAACACAGAGCCTTGAGGAACACCATTTACAACAGTAAGGCAATTTGATTTTACACATTGTGGTCTTTTTGACAAATAATTTGAAAACAATCTTAATGCTTGAGTGGACAGACCTATATCCAATTACCATTAAATTAATAAGGCATGGTCCACAGTATCAAAATTGGTGGAGAAATCAATGAACAGCGCTGTACAACTTTGCTTCCTATCCTGTGCCACAGTGATATCATTCACAACTTTTACTGCAGCAGTGGTAGTACTATGTTGCTTATATTACTTTATTACAATACATCGATAGAGAAACACTAAAGCAGTTCTGCCCACTGATTTACAACATTGCCCAACAAGACCCAAAATAACTAGAGATTATAAAGTACAACCAATAGAAACAGTATGACAGGTAAACAAATTTCCATTATCTTGTCATATTGCCGTGCTCTACTTTCACCATTTACATGTTGTCATCATCATCATCAAATCTGTCCCACTCTCTGCTATCACCCAACCAGAATGTTGTTTTGTTATTTTTGTTTTCTAACAAATACCTGCTGTTCTCTGTGTTTCACAGGCTCCAACAAAAAGAGGAATCACCTGAACCAGAAGGTTAAGCAGCCTGACTATAAAGTAGCTTACGTTCAGCTGGTGAGAACATGTAAAAACACAAACACACACACACTTGCCCTCTTACTCCCAGTCTTTTCTGGTTAGTGTGTTGTTTGAATAGCATTATCTCACTGGCTCCTGTCTAGTACACAGTGGAAGCTGGAGACCTCTCTACACTAACTTTCACTCCAACACCCAGCCCACTGTTTTTTATTTTTGTTGGGGTTTTTTTTGTACTTATTGTGAGGGACTGCATTATTAAACTCCAGGAGGATGAAGCGTTCTTAGAGATTTGAGCTTCAGCTTATGTGTCATGGGCTAACTTTGAAGGAGTGCAGGGTCAGTGAGGTAAGGCAGGTTGGTTGTGTTCCCCCATAAAACCCAGAGGGGCTGGCAGACTTTGAAAGTGAGCTCTCATACTCATTCTTGCTCTGACTCACATGCAGTTATGAACAGACACACACACACACACACACACACACACACACACACAAAAGTGAATGTCTGCATGCACAGAAAAGAAAATGTAACAAGCACCGTTTCATTACCTGCTGCCTGCTGTTTCCTTCCTTGTTCTCAAGAGAAAACCTGCGATGCATACACACGTGTGGACACACAAATCACAAAACCCTACCTTGCATCTCTATCTTGTGTGGTTCACAGAACACACACTGGCTGCCCTCTTGAGAAAGCGGCAGTCTGTCTTCTTGCAGGGCCTGAGGGTGAAAGGTCATCTTTGGTTACATGCCAGACATTTCCAAGAAATATTGAGACATAGTTATCATCTGGTATAGCTCTTTCTGTGCATATGGGCTGTGCCATAGATTGAATGTGAGCAGTCATGTGCACTACGTTTGTGTATGCTTCAAGAATTGCGTTGACGGTCAGCCCAGACTCCCTCACTGACTGTTAGCATCACACCTGTGTTTGAGGTGAGCTTTCGGTCAGGAAGGGCCACTCTCTGCAAATCTTGCCCAGTGTTTGAAGTCTGTGGTCTTTGTTTAGTGCCTGCCGGTTTGATCTTGCCCAGATAAATCAACAGTGGTGTAGACATTTGTTTATGCTGTGCTGCTCATCTGACTGGGGGCCATCAATCTTGAAACGGATGAATAATGAAAATTGTTTAAACATGACAGTTTGAAAGAGGATCCACAATTGAGGCAGCCATCAATCTTTTAAACGGGAGACTTCCTCTAGTCTGACACCAAGGAAGTGGCCTGTGATTCTGTGTGCATCTGCAATTCCCAGTGGAGTCAGTAGTGATGCTTCTGTCTCAGCAGAAGTGCACAGCCATGTGAGGATGGAGAACAGTGCTCACACACACACACACACACACACACACATGTCTGTGAAGTGTGCATCATTCATGCAGGTTGAGCACTAGAGGACTGATGTATTTCCTTGCATGTCATTCTCTGTGTAGTCATGATCATATTGCAGTTTTCTGATCTCCTCCTAATTTGATGATGAACAGCATACAGAAATACTGAGATTCTGGCTCTTTGTGCTTAAAGTGGCTTATAAAACAAATATCCAGCCCATTTCTCCAGCAGGTTTTAGAGAAAACATGCTCCCTCAACTCCCTTTCCTACCTCACTCTCTCTGTTTATACACACACACACAGCCCCAGAAAACCCTCCTTTCTTTTGCAGCGGTGGGTAGAAAACAAGATTGTTCCTAATTGACTCCACATGTGGGAGAGTGTTCTGTGGGTCGATGCTCACACTGCGGTCCCCCCTGTTCTACCCTCATCTTTCTCTCTCCCTCTGCTCTCTCCATCAGCTAATATTGCAGCAGTAATACGTTTGCTCTCTCTCTCTCGCTTTCATGCCTTACTGTTGATTTTTGGTTGAAGGGAGGCCCCCCATTAGCGGGCTTCCGTGACCGCCATTTTCATCAGAATTAGGGGCGACCCCAGTATCAGGGGAAGAGATAGCGTCTGCATGTGTGAAATGTGCACTGTGTGTGGGAAAGTGTGTACATGTGTGTGAGGGGTGAGCAGGGGAGGTCACTAAGGCTGTGATGGAGTCATGCCAGAGCAGGGAGGTCCAGAGACGGGGCAAAGCAATCAGGGGGAGGGGTAGAGGCTGTGTGTGTTAGACAGGTTGGCGGTGCACGTGGAGGGGTGACAAAAAGAGCAGTACAAAATGAAAACTCTAGAGTGTATCAGACTGGTCTCTTAGGTCTGGCTGCACTTCAGTGGAACCAAAGCGTTTTGGGTTGGACTCCCGTCATGCTACTAGGACTAGTTTAGTCTAAAAGGACTAACTAACTCTTGTTACTGCACTTTTGGTAACAGTTGTTCACTTCATGCTATTCACTCTGATGCTAAAAAGGGCTAAAGTTGGAAAATCCAGTTCTGCATTGCCCTTTTTGACCTCTTGTAGACATTACTTTATGTACAGTAGGTATAATTAGTAGGAACGAGCACTGATTTTTGAAAATTTTAAGTCATTAAATTTAAGAATTTTTCATGTGCCTGTGGTTTATTCTTTAAAGACAAAGAGCCTTCTTTGAATAATTGTCAAATAGTCCCCAGCAAATATCAAATGGCATTTTACCTTGAAATGCCCATCCCTAGTAATTAGATTTCTTTTCTGATTCAGTAAACCCTTTTGTAATAACATTTCCCAATTAGAATCTTCCAGTATTTACTAAACAAGCATCTTTATTATTAGGAAAACCTGTTGCATTTTAGCAGCAAGTCAAAATCAGGATGTGTCTGGTAGAGCAGAAGGCATTTTTGCAACCGACCATTTTCATAATGTTTGTCAAACCCTGTGGTTTACCCTCATTAAATTCTCTTGGCCCATCTCACAGCTGAAGTGCACCATGCCACTGTGTCCAGTTAAACGTTGCTTTCATTTGTAACCTTCTTAAACCCAATCTAGTGCTTTTTATAAAGGAGAAAGCACTCCCCGGGGGAGGCTGGAGATATTGAGTCCGAGTGGACCATATTCTCCACATCCATTGTCGATGCGGCCGTTCAGAGCTGTTGGGC